ATGGCCCCCAGACTCTCTGTCAACCCAGAACTGAAACAATTCCTGAGGCCAACTCTTCAGACAAAGATTGGACTGGACTGTGGGACATAAAATGATTTGTGAAGAGTGTGCTTCTTAGCTCAAGTAGATACATGAAACTAAATGGGCAGCTTCTGTCCGGAGGTGAGATGAGAAGGCAGAGAGGGTCAGGAGCTGGTTGAATGGACAAGGCAAATCCAGGGTGGAAAGGAGTGTGCTGTCACAGTACAGGGAGAGCAATTAGGGTCACATAACAATGTGTGTATAAATTTTTGTATGAGAGACTAACATGAATTGTAAACTTTCACTTAAAGGACAACAATAAAAAATAAAAAGAATTTTTTCACATATATGATCCTTACTACCAAACTGAAAGTGGATAGGACAGGGATTATTAATTCCACTGTTAAACTAGAAACCAAGGCACAAAGCGGTTAAGCTGCTCACAATCACATAATTATCAGTTACAGACTATGGGCTCCCTGAGAACAGGAATCCTGCCTGATTCATCTCTGACATGGAAATGAGTAACATGGAGTGGAGTGTTCAGACCCCTGGCTCTAGCTCTACCATGTGCCTAGTGGGAGAACCATGCTAAACTCTGAGTTAAGCAGAAAAAGAAGAAGGTGGAGGTAAGGGGAAGCCCTGGTCTTAGTGATCGAGGAGCCGGTCTCCTGTCTGGGATGATCTAGGAAATTACCAAAAAATGAAAGGATGTAGTGCACCTACAAGTTAAAAATAACTGCAAGTGTGAGTGCTGATCAGGATCAATTAAGCTGTTAGGGTATCCTGGAAGAAGTGACTTTTGGGTAAAGTTTCAAGGCTCATGATGGGCAGAGACAACAGAATGAATACCTTAAAGGTATGGCCTTGCCATTGTCCAAGGCATTACATAAAATGTCTTCTGCTGTTCATTTTCTGCTCACTAGTCTTCCACTCACACACAGCACAGCCAGGGCTGCCCTCCTTTTTCTGATCTCGCCTTTGCTCATAATGCTGGTACTCTCCCCACCCCCACTTCCAATCTCCATCATAATATATTTAAAGTCTAAAATGTCATGTTTCTTGTGAAACTTCTCCTGAGATCCCAAAGCAGATATGATTTTTTAGTCCCTAGAAGCCCCAAGCCCTGGACTTGTACCTTTTTTATGGCAATGCCCATGTCCTGCCTTGTAATAGTTATTTGGATGTGTGCCTCTTTCCTCTGCTGGTTCCTTGAAAGCAGGAATTGTGTTTTACTTGTCTTTGTACCCTAGAAAGCACCTTGCATGGTGCTTTTTGCTTAGTAGGCTCTCAGAAAGCATTTATAAAACGGGATTGAAAACAAGCAGGTAGAAGTTGAGAGCTATTTAACGAGCTGTGTGTGCTAAGACTTGTGTGGCTGGGGTAGATGGGGAAATGGTGACGGACAGTGCCTTGGAGGGCTAGCTGGTAGCAGGCTTAAATGCTGGACTGAAAAGTTAGATATGATGGGTTGCAGACTGACAGTCATCACTGTGCAGGAAAATGTCACGAGCGAGAATATGCAAACAGCAGTATGATGGACACACTGGCTTAACGGATCAAGAGGCAGGCATGGCACATGGTTGGGAAGCCTCAACAACAGCTTATATAAGTAGATCAGATGGACAAGAAAAGAGATGAGAAGAGCAGAGCAGAGACCTTGAGAGGGTACAAACATGGGAATCTGGAGAGTAACGCATTCATCTACTTGCCCAGTAAAGCTTTCCTGAATCATGTGCCAGGTATTGTGTGATGTGCTGGGGGAAGCAAAGATAAATAAAACAGTCCATATAATCAAGGAACTCATATCTAATGATATTAACAAACATGAACAAATTATTTTTTTTAAAAGTTAATAATGACTATTATAAAGGACTTCTCAAGCTGTACAGAGTGTCATGGGAACCGAGAAGAAAGAGAGACTAAGTCCGTCTGGGAGAATCAAGAGTTCAAAGGAAATGTAGTATTTAGCTGGATTTTGAAGGAGTCTGACAAGCTGGGAAGGACATTCCAAGCAAAGGGAATAATAGTACAGATAAAGGCACAGAAAAGTCAATTTGGCTAGTGTGGGAGAGGAGAACAGTGAAATATCAGTATCACTAATAGAAAGATCAGAAAAGAGTAAGGTGGTATTTTTTGGCTTATTAGACTTCAGCTACTGGCAGATCATAATTTTTTTACTTCTTATTTCTGATTGACTGTAACATACTAGGCCGTGTGTGAAGAAGTCTGAATAATAACCACTGCCACCATCATCTACCCATCTATGAAGAACAGCTGGTGTTTACTGAGGGCTTATTATGGGTCAGGCATAGTACTAAGTACTTTATGTACATTAATTCCTTTACTTTTCATAACAATATTGGGAGGCAGGGGTTATTAGCCCCATTTTAGATGAGGAAACTGGCTCAGCCAGGGTAAGGCTAATGGGTGGCAAGGCTGAGACTCAAATCCAGATCTACAGAGCTCTTTTCATACTACCCTGTTTGTGGAGGCATGGATTTCAGAGCTGTCTGGAGAACAGAGGAAGATGGAAAATAAGAGTGGTAGAAAGACTCAAGAATGGAGCTTAACTCCCATTGGATGGCTGAGATCAAAACAAAACAAAACAAAAATAAACAAAACCCAGAAAATAACAAATGTTGGTGAGGATGTGGAAAAGTGTGGCGGTTCTTCAAAAAACTAAAAATAGAACTACCATATGACCCAGCAATTCCACTCCTAGGTATACACCAAAAGATTTGAAAGTAGAGACTCAAAAAGAGACTTGCACACCACTGTTCACTGTAGCACTATTCACAATAGCCAAAAGTTGGAAACAACCTAAATGCCCATCAACTGATGAATGGATAAACAAAATGTGGTATGTACATACAATGTAACACTACTCAGCCAGTGGGAGAAATGGAATCTTGATACATGCTATAGGATGGACAGAGCTTGAAGACATGTTGAGTGAAATAAGCCACTCACAAACGGACAAATATTCTATGACCTTACTTATATAAAAAGACAAGAAAAGGCAAATGTACAGAGAACAAGGTTTATTAGTGGTTACCAGGGTTGGGAGGAAGGGGAAAAAGAGGGTAAATGGTGACGGAAAAATCTCACTACGGGTAGAGTTGCACAGCTGATTATTCTAATTGCTGTCAATAAGTTGTACACCTACAAAAAGCTGAATTGGCAAAAGTTGTGTGATAGATATATTTACAATGACAAAAAAAAAAAAAAAGAGTCATTGCTGAGGCTGCTTATGTAAATCCAAACACCTCATGGGATTTGGTTCCTTGGTTTGGAGGTTTAGGGTCATGGTTTCATGGGACATCCCAGTGAATTGGTCTAATAACGTGTTTAGTGTTTCTGTTCTACCTCCTAGTTTGTTGTGTAGTGCCTGGGGTCTTAAAAGCTTGTGAGTGGCCAGCTAAGGAACAACAATTGGTATCTATTCACTTGGATCAACAGAGAAAGAAGGAGAGTCAGATATAGGAGAAGGATATAGAATTTGTACATAATTGCCTCCACAACTAACTGCCTCCTTTGCCATGAGACCAGAAGAACTAGATGGTGCCCAGCTACCATTATTGAACATTTTGATCAAAGATTCCACAGAAGAATCCTGATCAAAAGCCAGAAAATGCAGAACAGAATTTCAAATTCTCATGGACTCTAGACTTGCTAGAGCCATGGAGGGTGGATGAACCCCTGAAACTTACCCTGAGATAATCTTTAAACCTTAAACCAAACATATTCCCTGAAGTAATCTTAAAACTGAACAATAGTTCAGCTTAACTAGTAAAAAAAAGTCTGCCTTGAGCATTTTTCTCTTTTAAGAACTACCTATACAGGACCAAATTGACAGCAGCAACTTGAAAGATTAGATAGGAACCTTAGGGGACAGTGGGTTTATGTTAATGAGGGAAGAACAGCTCAGAAAATGAGGGTGAGAATGGTTGCACAACTCAAAGAATATAATTAATGTCCCTAAATTGTACACGTAGAAACTGCTGAATTTGTGTACATTTTGCTGTGCACAGTCTCAACAACAAAGTAAGTAAAATTTAAGGAAAAAAAAAAAAGAAAAGAATGGAGCTTAGCTAAATTAAGTTTCTCCAATTAGGTCAGAAGTGTTCCTGATGAATTTTCTTCTTTCACACTCTTCCCCACAATCTGATCTTCTTTTAATCAGGCAGTTACACACTGTACTCTCCAGTTTCTCTAAATAATGTCATCTAGAAAGGATGGATCCAAGAGAGCAATGCCAAACCCCATTTTTTTCCTCTTTCCCCAGAACTTCAAGACTCTGACAACATTCAATTCAACATTCTACTTTTAAACATACGGCTACATGATTTGAAAGTGAAATTTTCAAATGTAGATCTGAGATATGACTATAGCTCATCTCCAAGAAAGGCATCACCATCGCTGCGTTAAACATGCACAAAGATGAAATAGACATTGGCTTCTGAAGACGAAGTTTCTGCCCTGACAGTTTCAGAAGCGTCACAGAAACCAGCATGCAGAGATGCTGACTGCTGTCAGGATAGCACTTTATCTAGCTTGGTACAACTCGGGGGCATGGAATAGTCCACTGAATGGCTTCAGGAAAGCCGAGCAGAAACGTGTACTCAGTGTTTAAAGGCAAATAAAAGAAGCAGGATGCTTATGTACCATTCTGAAGGAAAATAAGGAAGAAAGTATGAGCACAGTTATTTTAGGTACATTTTCTCAAGTTTTAGTCCATTTTAAAAAGAAGTAGGATGGCATGTATCACCTTCATTCTCCACTCCTCAGCTTCCCAGCCCTGTTTTACTATGTATGGATGGGGTCAACTTATAATGAATTAATGAATTTCTAATTCCTTTTCTGAGTTTACAAGATACCAAATAAAAAACTGATCTTGAGTTAAGGACTTAATATGTTTCCTTGGATACCTGTGTTTGAGGAAGCAGAACCTGACACCTGAAAGAACTTCTAAGGGTATCTGAAACTCCAAAATGGCTATCAGTACAACTTACCTTATAATCATCTGGCTGGGAGTTGGTCTTTGGAGAAGTAATATAAAAGTTCCAGGAAGTAAAAACAAACAAACAAACAAAACTCGTCACTAGTCTCTTCCTGGCTCCCAAACCCCATTCCTTCCCGCAAAAAAGGGTCCAAAAGAACTGAAGCCCTTTGATCTAGATTACTTCAAACGTTATACACTAGTAATATGCCAGTGGACTTCTTTCACTAATGGCAGGAAGAACCGAACTATACCCAACTGACCAATGAGACACATTTCAAAAGTAACTAGACAAAGAAAAGAGTGAAGCCAACTGGCCCATGCAGAGATCAAACCTGTAGGCCAGCCTCCTCAGTACACACATACTGAGCTAACAGGCCACAAATACCTCAATCTAAAGAAGGTACTGTACCTCCCCTCGTCTTCCTTCCCTCTCAGAGACCCTCTGATAGTAGAAGAAGCATTTAGGTTAATCAGATATTGGGGTGATCTCTGAACTATGAAGTATAAGTTCTACAAACAAGTTCCTCTGCCAAGGTGGGGCAGAGCACTAAGCAAATGAAATCAGGTCCAAGTTCTAATACCAACTTAATAGTGTCCTCAGGCAAGTCATTTAACTTTTCTTGGCCTCACTTCTTGCTTGGAAATACAAGCCTGAACTAGTCAGGGAAGGCTCATAGGGTTCATCTTGAATGCCAACTCTAATCCACTGTGGTGGCTGCAGAGCACTAGGTGGAAAAGGGTGTGAAGCTGAGTTGGGGCTTAGTGGGAAAGAGCACTGAAATCAGTCAGCAATGTCTGCATGATTGCAGGATGGGTGAGTGGCAATGCACCTCATGTTTGTCTTCCCTAGTCTGGTCCTCTTGAGGGCTCCTTCTAGCTTTGATAATCTGTGGCAAATCCAGGACTGAAGCACCACTGTAGCCAGATGTAATGGATTTCTGCCTATGTACATATGTATGGATGATCTAAGCTGTTGACTGATGGTGTTCCCAAATGGCCAGAAAAGCCACTGAGAAAGATGGCTCATGCTGGAGACAGGTACCAACACCTCAAGAGGACATGATGACTAGCAATGACAATTAGCTCATCCTCTTACCAATAAATAAAACTTCCCTGTAGCAAAAGAGACAACTCCTGGATCTACTGTTATATTACTCGTACCTGTTGCTGTCGAGTCAATTCCGACTCATAGCGACCCTACAGGACAGGGTAGAACTGCCACATAGGGTTTCCAAGGAGCGCCTGGTGAATTCCAACTGCTGACCTTTTGCTTAGCAGCCTAGCTCGTAAAAACTCTTAACCACTGTGCCACCAGGGCTCCAATACTGATATATTAGAGTCCATTTAAAAATAATATGGCATGTAAATGAAGTGCACTTCAAATGGGAATATGATTAATAAAGAGAAATTCCAAGAATCCAGTAGCCTCCTTAAGTGTTGTAAATACATGTCACTTTACAAAATTTCAGAATGAAAATCTTGAATACAATGAATTGTATTTGAAATAAGACAGGAATGTAAAGATTTAAAGGATGTCTTCCACTGATTAATTCATTCAAAACTATCACCTTTGAGAAGAGTGAAGGTGACTGCCTTCTTTGTGAAGCAATGACAACTCAACATCCACATATAGCACTTTTTCTTTTCAAAGCAGGACACCTGCATTAACCTCACTTGCTGTATCTATCCTGTGTCAGTTATGTAGCAAATATCATTTTCAGATTTCACAGATGAAAAAATTGAGACAGACACCAAATGACTGTCACTAAGTTTTGGTTAGACTTGGGTGGAACATGTTTTCCTAGTCCAAGTCTTTTCTATTAGTCCTTTCACTCTGGCAAGAGACGGTCAGAAAAACTGGAATAATAATAAGAGCAAAATTTCCTGAGTCCTTATTATATGCCAGGGCACTGTGCTAAGCAGTTTTATGGATTTCTCATTTTCTTCATAAGAGCTCCATGAGGTAAGAACTATTATTATTTTCACTTTTCAAATGAGGAAACTGAGGCTTGAAGAGATGAATCTTTCCTAAGACCATAAATCTTGTGGTGGAGTAAGTAGTGGTGACAGGATAGAAAGCTGGCAGGATACATAAGTTTGGCTCCAAGCCTGTGTTTATTTTCATAGTTCATAGAAGGAAAAAGTCTCTGTTTTATGGACCCTTTCCAGTATTTGCAGATGAGCAAATAGATGGGATTCTTTTATTTATGCCATACCTGGGGGCTAATGCAAACCAGCAGCATTACTATAAGGCCACCTACCTTCTTGGCCTGTCTTTTCCCTATAAATTAAAAGAAAGGGGGAAAAAAAATCCATAGCTGGACCAACAAATTCCACATACAATTTGGGAGAGTTAAAAAAAAAAAAAAAGAAGAAGAAGGAAAAAAAGACACTGATAGGTTTTGTTTTGTTCATTCCATAAGAGAGGGCTAGAATAAAAACTTAGATGGTGATTCTGTAAATGGCACATTAAGTAGAACAGACTGCAATTCACAGCAGCATCAGCCTGTTTGGGGGCTGCTAAAATAAACAGATTCATCTCCAAAGATACACAAGGAGGTAGTATACGTAGCGTCAAGGTACCATTTCTGCAGGGCTGTGTGTGTGTGTTTTCCTCCTCCAGCCACATCCTTACTGTAAACGTTAATCTGTCTTCAAGAGCACTACCAAATCACCACCTCTCCACGTGCCTCTATCTCTCTAAGCAGTCAAGTCGCAGACTTCCAAATGAGCATGCAGACACCATTTCTAATCTGCCCCTGACATGCAGCAAGCTGCCCTCACTGATGAAAGGAGACAGTCATAAAAGCAGCTGCTATGAAGCCAACACAAATCCCTCTTGCCTTAATAAGAGGGGACAGACTGAGAGTCTAAACATGAAGTCTCAGCCACCTCCTCAGAAGAGGTCATGGTTACTGCATGTAGTCATGGGCTGGAATGGCCCCATCAGTCAGAAAATGCCAGTCTCTTCTTTTCTTCCAAAGCAAGGGAGAACTAAAACAACTGGAGACAGAGAGCTAAGTGGAGATGGGAAAGGCACAAACATCAGTAAAACAAAGCCTTCCTCCAAAAGCTCATAAGATAGGACAGACTGTTAAAAAAGGGATTCCAGAGACTGCAGTTTGTTTTTAGCTAGGGAAAGAGACACTGGAGAATTAGCAACAGGCACTGTTTTGGGGAATGCAGAGGGAACCGATGGCAGCTTTGGTAAGAAGCCAAGGCTCTCAGGCCAGAGCTTTGTCCACAGAGGAGCTGAGACTGACTATATGTTAGGCCTGCCTGAGCACGTGGACATGTGCCAGGCTTTTACAACAATCCATTAATGTTCCAAATGACCCTATAATAAAGCTACCATGAAAACTGACGTCCACACAGGACAAGGCATTTCCGAAGTGAACGGTTGGTATGTGGCAGAGCTGGAATTCAACCTACATTCTTTCCACATTACCATGATGCTTCCATCACAGGTGTGAGCTTCAATTACTAAATTAACTTTAAAAAAACCCACAATTCTCATTTGAATTTTGACAGTATATAAATCAGCCTTGAGAGAACTAGGACTTCCATGACAGCAGATACAATAATACAAGGCCAGAAAACCACAATCCCTGTTGGTAGCACAGAAGAAGTGAACAAGATAAGTCCCTGCCTGTGAAGACTTAGATTTAGTTTGGAGAGAGAGACAGACAAGTATGCAGGCCAGAAATACTTGTAACAAGAGCTACCACACATGGTGTACTTCCTTGTGACAGGAACTATCTTAAATGATTTGTATATATATTATCTTAATCCTCCCCGAAACCCTACAAGACAGGTACTATTATTCTCCTCCTTTTACTAATGAGGAAACTGAAGCACGGCGAATTTAAGGAAATTGCTAATGATCATGCAACTAGTAAGAGGCAGAGGCATGATCTGAACCTATGCAGTCTGGTTCCAGAGTCCGTGATCTTACACATGAGGCTATACTGCACAGGAGGTGCTCCAGGCAAGGCTTTCTGTAGGAGCTGACATGGAAACACAAAGTATCATGCTTGGTCCACAGTAAACCAAAAACCAAGCCCGCTGCCGTTAAGTCGATTTCAATTCATTGTGACCCTATAGGACAAAGTAGAACTGCTCCATAGGGTTTCCAAAGAGTAGCTGGTAGATTCGAACTGCTGACCTTTTTGCTTAGCAGTTGAGCTCTTAACCACTGAGCCACCAGGGCTCCTGGTCCATGGTAGGCACCCATTATATTCTTTATTGACTGATTTGTTTGCCAAAGCCCTGAAGGATTCTGAGGATTAGGCAGCTGAAGGAAAGGGGTAAGGAAGTATTCTAGGCAGAGTATAAAGCAATGGGCAAATGTTTAGGAGGTCTGAGAAAGCACAAGTTTAGGGGAGCACAAGTGGTGTGGAATGGCTTTTGCACATTGCAAGGGGAAAGCGTGGTAAGGGAGGCAGCTAGAGTGGCAGGCAGAGGCCAAACTGGAAAAGGCACTGTAAGATGGTTAAGGAGTTTAGACTATATCCTGAAGGTAATGAAGAGCCAGCATTTATTGTGCTTAGGCAGGGGAGTGGCATCTTTGAAGGGGACAAACCTAGAGATAGGGAGAAAGGTAGGAGGGTATTGCACGAATGCAAGAAAAAAAGATGATAGTAGCCTGAATTTAAGTATTGGCAGTGAGGACTGAGAAAAATGGAGAGGTTGTGGAGATATAAAAGAGGTAAAATTTACCAGACGGATGTGTGGTGGGAGGGGGAGAGGAGCCAAAAGACGATGCCCAGGTTTATGATGTGGTCCTACCAGTGAAAGGCCCTGGTTTGGAGGGGGGAAGAGATTATAGTGGGTTTAGGACCATAGCCTGGTTTCGGACTTGCTGAGCTAGGAAAGCCTATGGGGTGATGTCCAGGTGGGAGCTGGCTATATGGGTCTGCAGACAGATTTGGAGGCCCTGGCACGTAACCCTGATCTTACCAGACCTTGCAATAAGCCTGTGAGGTCAGGAGGGCAGAGCCTATCAATGCCACTGTATCAGTGCACAGAAACGATCAG